CACATACAGACATCTCAAGTCCAGCCCAAGCCCCCACCAGAGGGAGGAGCTACCATTATTCTTTGAAATAGACTCGTTTAGGGAGCTGTTCCGGACGCAGAGTGCTCTACCCCAGATCACACACGTTCACGGATGCCCCGTTTGTGTGGACTGCTTGCAACAACGCTGGACCTGCTAGTACATCAGGGACACAGCTGGGACCTGCCAATATACCGGGCACACAGCCGGTCACATATACAGGGACCCGTTACTGACTAGGGCTGAACCTGCCGATATATCGGGGACAAAGCCTGTCGCTGACCAGCAGATCCACCGCACTGTCCAGCTCTCAAGTATGGACAGACACCGGGGCAAACCCAACAGCAGAGTCACTGGACCAGCTCCCCGCACCTCACAGCCCTCCCCGTCCTCCTGCAGGGCCCTGGACGACCATGGTCCAGCCTCTTCCCACCCCACTTACCTCATCCTGGGAACTCTTACAGCTTCCTGTGCTCCTGGGACCCCGTGAGTGGCTGGGACCCAGCACGCCGCTAATGTCTGGTACCTGGGACCCCATGAGTGCCTGGTACCTGTAACCCCATGAGTGCCTAGTACCTGGGACCTCGTGAGTGCCTGGTACCTGGGACCCCGTGAGTGCCTGGGACCCAGCACCCCGCTAATGTCTGGCACCTGGAACCCCATGAGTGCCTAGTACCTGGGACCCCGTGAGTGCCTGGCACCCGGGACCCTGCGAATGCCTGGTACCTGGGACCCCGCAAATGCCTGGTACCTGGGATCCCATGAGTGCCTGGTACCTGGGACCCCGTGACTGCCTGGCACCTGGGACGGGATGCCTGTTGGGTGTGAACCTCCCAGGAGGGGTAGGACCCTCACAGTGGCCCAGCTGTAGGAGCAGACATGGAGTCAACGTCTGTCAGTAACTGGAAAAGGAATGGAGGGGAAGAGAGATGAAGAGATGGAGGAAGAGAGATGGAGACAGAGACGGAGGGAGATTAAGGGAGATAGAACAGAGAGCTACCGGGCAGAGCCTCAAGTTTCCGGCTGGGCACCCTGGGATACGGCCACCCCACCCCGCAGGCCATGTTTGGGCCGTTGCAGATTGTGACACCCTTGGTTGGAGCAGGAAGGGGCCAAGGCCACACTCCAGGCCCGCTTCCCCTCCAGGGCTCATCCCCACAGTACAGGACTTGGGATCACTTCCTGTCACAGCCCACAGTGGTCACCCCTCCCAGCCTGGGCCCTGGGCCTCCTCCTTGCCCCACCAGCACTGTGCAGGCTGGAGAGGGGGCAGAGAGGACCCCCCCCATGCTCCCCATGAGCCCCACCAGCCTGGCAGACAGCACAGACTCAGTGGTTCCCAAATGGGAAATGACCAGAAGTGACCACTGTGACCAAAACTAGACAATGTAAGGGGCAGCACCCTAAATCCCCTGCTGTGCCATGCTGGCATAGGTGAGAGTGTTGGGGGTGAGCCCCCTGCTGTTCCATGCCGGCATAGGTGGAGGCTTGGGGGCTCCCACCCGGTTCCCGGATCCAGCACTGTGATACCAGCACCACACAAGGAACTTCTGTGAAGAGATTTAGCATCTCACCACTTGGGGGTGGCCAGTTCAGGTCCCTGGAAGGGAGGCTCAGGTTCAGAGGTGCCTTTCCTGCTCCCCTTTACCTGAGGGATCCTCAAAAAGTAGAGATTGTCACTCATGAGGACAGTGTTCTTTTTTCAAAACATTCACTCGGGTAGGCAATGGTTAAACCCCCAGCTGCTAACCAGTGGTCAATGGTTCAAACCCACCAGCCGCTGTGGAGAAGAGATAAGGCAGCTTGGCTCTGAGGAGGCACCTCAGACACCCTCGGGCAGCTCCATGCAGTCCTGGGGGTTCGCTCCTGCGGGGTCGCTCCTGCGGGGCCACTCCTGGGGGGTGCCTCCTGGGGGGTGCCTCCTGGGGGAGGCTCCTGGGGGTCCCTTCTGGGGGGTGGATCCTGGGGGTCGCTCCTGAGGGGATCGCTCCTGGGGATCCCTCTGGGGGGGTCGCTCCTGGGGGGTCACTCCTTCAGGGTCGCTACTGGGGGGTCACTCCTGGGGGTCCCTCCTGCGGGGTCATTTCTGGGGGTCCCTCCGGGGGGGGTCACTCCAGAGGGGTCACTCCTGCGGGGTCGTTTCTGGGGGTCCCTCTTGGGGGATCGCTCCTGGGGGGGTTGCTCCTGCAGGGTCGCTCCTGGGGGTCCCACCTGGGGGTCCCTCATGGGGGGTGGATCCTGGGGGTTGCTCTTGGAGGTCCCTCCTGGGGATCGGTCCTGCAGGGTCGCTCCTGGGGGGGTCACCGGGGCACTCTGGCTTCCTTTTTTGTTTCATATTAGACCAAACGGGAAAAGGGACAAAGGCGACTTTACAGCACTGTCCACGCAGCTGGGACAGGAGTGTGAAGTCTGGGAGAGAGGACGAGAACAGAAACGATGCCGCGAGTTCAATGTGAGGACGCCAATCAAACACGGCCGCGGGGGAGTGACTGAGCTTTGCTGGGGTGGTTTTACCCAGAAGATGGACTGGCACAGAGACTGGCACAGTGGCTGAAGCAGGACGAGGATGGAGAGGAGGACACAGGGGGCACTCGACGGCACCTGGCAAGGGCACACTGGCATGACTTCACTGCAGAGTCCTGCCCCCACCGCAAGGCCCGGGGACTCGATCCTGGGACCCAGGTGGCAGCCCACACCCCACACAGTGGACAAGACAAGACGGTTCCGTCATAGGAGGCCAGGCCCCCAGAGGGCACGGAGTAGAGGGGACAGAGGGGCTGAGAACTCAGTGCACCATGAGGCCCTGCCAGGTCCCGAGCGGGATCCGAAGGTGGAGGGTCTGCGGATGAGGGAACCCACCGGTACCGGTCATGTGGAGACCACAGGAGAACTCAGGTGGGGCTCAGGCAAGGCGGGGCTGGAGGTTTGAGGTCAAGAGCTCCTCCCACCAGCAGCCTGGAGTGGGGAAGGCCTGGTAACCCCTCACCCTTACCCTAGGGCGCTCCGCTCCCACTGGGGTCAGCCCCGCCCCTCACAGGGTGTCTGGCTTTTGGGGAAACCGGCTCAGGAGCGACTCTCTGTTTCCGGTGTTGTGTGTGATTGAGTTGGAACCAACCAGCACTGACCCTCCAGCCTGGGAGCGGAACCCGGTGGAGTAGATGGTGGACACCGGATCTCAGCTCAGCCCCTTAGTAACATTGTTAGAGTCTGATCACCCTGAATGCGAATCCCCATGACAGCAGACAATAGTTCAAATAAGTAAATGTCCAAGTAGGAGCCTGGGGGCCGCTAGACCAGAGGTCAGGGGTTCTAATCCACCAGGGCTTCACGGGAGATAGACTGACTGTTCAGAACCCTGGACTATCTCAACAGTGGGGTCCATGTCCTCTGGCCAGGGCTGTCCCACGACTGCCCCCACGTGGGACTCCGTCCTGGGTACTGCAGTGTGCGAAGCAGCGTCTTTGACCTCTACCTACTTACTGTCCCCTCACGTGGTGACAGCACAAGTGTCCTCAGTCATCACCCAGTGTGTCACCTGGGACAGTGAGAACCACAGGCATGGGGAAAGCAAGGCCCTCCACCAGCTGCTTTGCAGGGAGCAGGTTTCTACGGCGTCTCGGAGGACACAGCAGGGCACGTGTGGCATCATGGCCTCAGTGCGGGCAGGCGTGTTTTCCTGTCCATTTACTGTCCTCCCTCTGCTCTCAGCTGTGTCACATGGCATGCAGGTCTGTGCGCATCTCGGCCACTGACCCCTCCCGCATGAGGCTTCGCTGTGGCCACAGAGAGTGGTGTGTGTGCATGTGTGTGTCTGTGTGTGCATGCAGATGTGTACACAAGTCTGCATATGTGTGTTGGCATGTATGTGTACACGTGTGTCTCTGTGAGCAGATGTGCCATGTGTGTGACTGTGTCTGCACGTGTGTGGTGTGCACATGTCTGCATATGTGTACAGGTGTGCTGTCATGCATGTGTACACGTGTGTGCACATGTGTCTCTGTGTAGATGTGCCTGTGTGTGCATGTGTGTGTGACTGTGTCTGCATGTGTGTGGTGTGCACGTGTTTGCATATGTGTCTACAAGCATGAGTACACATGTATGCACATGGATATCTGTGTGCAGATGTGTCTGTATGTACATGTGGGCATGTATGTGTGACTGTGTCTTTCTGTATGTGTGTGCATCAAGTCCCTCTGTGTGTGTGTACATTCAGGTTTGTCTGCATGTACATGTGTACATGTATGTGTGTATGCATGTATGGTGTGGGCATGTCTGCAGGAATGTGTGTACATACATGTCTCTCTCTGTGTGTATGTATGTGTATTATATGCATGAGTGTGTGTATATGTGCATACTTAGATGTCCCTCTGTGTGTGCACGCATGTACATCTGTGTGTGCATGTGTGCGATGTGATCATGTATGTATGTGTGTGTCTCTGCATACGTGTGTGTGCAGTTATGTCTATGTATGTGTGTGCCATGTGAATGTGTCTGCATGCATGTCCCTGTGTGTCTGCATGTATGTCTGCATGTACATGTGCGTGTGTGGGCACATGCAGTGTGAGTGTGTATGTATGTGTGTGCAAACGTGTCTCTGTGTGCATGTGTGTTGTGTGCACATGAGAACACACATGTGTGCATATATACATGCATGTCTGTGTGTCTCCATATAGGTAGATGCCATTCTGAGTCTGCTGCCTCTCATCTAGGAGACCCCCCAGTGTGGGGAGAGTGGGCCCAGTTTCCACACCTCACTGGATACTCAGGCCAGATGCCCTGCTGAGCCATCTCCTTCCGGCCATGTGGGATTCTGACCCCCTGCCCCATCCCGTAACTCCCAAAGGAGGAGGAGGAAGTGGGGAAGTTGGTCCTGCTGTGGAGAAATCACAACGGCCAGGCAGCTCACGTTGAGGCTATAAGAGGACTGGGCAGGCAGGGGACAGAGACCTGAACCCATGCCCAACATGACCCACGGCCACCAACCCACAGGCCCTGCCCTTGCTCCCCTCCTGCTGGCCGTACTACTGGGTGGTGAGTGGAGGTCTATCCCTCTGGGTCCTGGGGGGTTGTCCTTCCACATGCTCTGACCCAACTCTTTCCAGGGGTAGATGGGAAGGGTCTCAGTCATGGTGACGCCCCACGTGACTGCTTTAATGAGCCCCCTCACCTTTGGGAGGCTAGAAGCCTGACCCCACCCCCACCCCCGCTCCCAGGCACCAGCCTAGAGGTGAGGGCTTCCCTCTGAGCCTCTGCTCCTGGGGCCCCTCTGGGGCATCGTCCCTGTCGCTGCTTCTTGGTTCACTTGTTTAAACCCTTTAAGGCCACAAATGACTGAAAGTATACCCAACAACAGTCCTGTACTAACTAATGTAACAGCGAACTCATCCCAACAGACGAAGGAGATGGAGGAGCTGTGTTATGGGGGACACAATTCCAACCCATTGTGGGGAGGTGGAGACAGGCCCAAGAGGGACTGGTGTCCAAGGGCACGTGAGTTAGGAAAGAGGGGCACCCGGGCTATTGGACCCAGTTTTTTGGCTTGTGACATGAGCACAGCCCACCCTCCACAGCGAGACTGCGATTTACACGGACAGTAACATATCAGGGACTTAGCATGTGCGTAGGGATAACGAGTGAGCGAGTGAACTCCGCTGGCAGGGAGGGAGGGGGAGTCTATGCCTCGGTTTGTCCATCTGAAAAGTGCTGCTTCTTTTTTTAAAATTTTTATTGTATTATTTTTACGTGTACCGTCAAATCAGATCTGACTGATCAGGAGGAGATTGCCCCCTCCTTCTCCAGCAGAGCATCTGGTGGACTTGAACGTACCTCTGGGATTGTAGTGCAGCATCTTGCCACTAGGCCACCAGAGCTCCCTCTGAAAAGTGCTTCTTTTGAGGCTGTTGGTGCAGGCGGAGCGCCTCCGGCCTCCAGGAAGCTGAGAAAGCAGGAGCCACAGACAGGCACGCACGCAGGGACACAGAGGCTTGTGCGTGACCAGGGCCCAGCAGCCTGCGTGCTCACTATTCGGAGGGAGCAGAGCCACCAAAGGTCACCAGCAACGACCCCACAAGGGGGTCCTTGGGGCGGGCAATAAACAGGAACACCCTGCCCCCCAGGTGTGTCACAGGCTGCCAAGATTGTGGGCGGACGGCCTGCAGAGCCCCACTCTCGGCCCTACATGGTGTCGCTGCAGCTGCGGGGGGTCCCCAGCTCCCACTTCTGTGGGGGCACCTTGATCCACCCCAGATTTGTGCTGACAGCTGCCCACTGCCTGCAAAAACAGTGAGTGTGGGGTGTGGGGTGGAGGACCACTGTGGTTTGTGAGGGGGAGCACCGTGGGGTATGAGGGGGAGGATCACTGTGGGGTGAGGGGAGGATCACTGTGGGGTGTGAG